GCTCTCCTGGTGGGTGAAGACTGCACAGGCCTTTGGATGATGATCTGCTCATGATGAAGCATAGGAGCCAGGACAAGGGGTCCTCATTTGCAGTCCTCCAGAGCCCCAGGAGCCTGCATGGTCATGATGCCCATGGGCAGTGGTGAGCACTTGAGGCTCAGAGAGCCCCCTCCCCCAGTCTTCTGGAAATCCCACGCTTCTCAGACCAAACCTCTCTCTGGGCTTGGCCTGGCCCCCAAGAGGAAGTGCCAACTTGAGTTTTGTGAAGGAGAACTTCACTCAGCCCATCTTAATAAGTCTGGGCTCAGTAAAGGACAGAAGCTGAGGAAGTCACCCCACTCCTTAGCTGTGCACCGCACCCACACACCGGGTTCTGGGGGCTCAGGCTTGGACCCTGCTCTGCAGGAGTTGTCAGTCTGATGGAGCGGGCTGCCCTGAACTAGAAAATCACGCCGGTCAGAGATCAGAGTTCTCCGGCAGGCAAGGGGAGAGATCAGATGGAGGGCCCCGGGGACAGGCTGCGTGTGAAGCAGCCAGGTAGCCTTCCCGGCGGAGGAGGCGCTGCAGCTGGGCCTTGGAGCGCGAGGGTGTGCGCAGCCTTTAGCAGTGTCCCAGGAGCCCATCCCTCTTGGGCAGCGCACGACGTGGTCCCACAGAGAAAGAAGGGTGGGAGGCCTCGCCAGGGCTTCCTTTCAGCCTCTAGGTGGCGCCTTTGAGCCGCCGAGCCTCCAGCGCCCGAGGAGACTACGGACCTGCAGACCTCAGAGGGGACCCAGGGTCCCACCTGGGGCCGGGTGTTGGAGGGTGCGGGGGTCGCTCCTGGCTTTGGCGCAGTGGGGGCTCCCCAGCGGCGGGGGAGGGGTCTTCTCCAGCCCCTCCCCCCGCCCCGCCCCCGAGCCCTGGGACCGGGGACTCCAGCTCGGGTTCCCGCAGCCCAGGCGCGGGCGGTACAGAGGTGCCCTAAGGGGAGGGGAGGGGAGGAGGATGGACTGGCACCCCCCCGCCTTCGCCCCCGTCCCCCACCCGTCTCCCGGTCCCTCCCCGTGCTAACTCTCCGGGCGCCCTCGCCGGCCAAGGGCGGAGCTCGATCCGCGGCGCCAGAGAATCCCGGCTCCCGCCCCTTCCCTGTCGCTACCTCCCCGGACCCCGCCACCCCGCCCCAGCGGTCGCCACCGCCGCGGTGTAGCCCCGCGCGGCGCGAGCAGGTATGTGCTCCTCGCCGGGGGCTCGGGCCGGGCGGGAAGGGGGCGGGAGCCGGGGAGGACCGGGCGGCGGCGGCCAGGCCCGCGCGCTCCCGGGCTGCGCTGCAGCCGAGCCCCCGGCCGGCGGGCTGGCGGGCGGCTCCGGTCGCGGGGAGGCGGGCAGGCGCCCGGGAGGACGCACCTCGCCCGCTGGCCTCCCGGCGCCCTTCGCTTCCGCGCGGGGAGGCAGGGGAGGCCGGGCACAGGTACACACGACGAGGGGGGCTGCGGGGGCGGCCGGAGGCTGAGGCCGGGGCCGGCGCGTGTTGGCGAAGGACAGCGAGCCTGACCTCGCGGCCCGCCGAAGGACAAGCGGCGAGGGGACCCGGGCACGCCAGCGCCGGTGCAGCCCGGCCTCCCCGGCCGCCCTGCTGCGGGCGCTGCCCGGCAAGGTCTGGCCTGGGCCGCCCACGGCGTTCGCGGTCAAGGGCAGGAGCAGGGGGTGTGAGCTGCGGGTGGCGGGCGCGCGGGCGCGGTGGTCGCCCAGCTGCCGGGCTTCCTGCGCGGAACTTTGGGTATAACAGCGTGGACGGCGTGTGCGTGTCTGCGCGCCCTGAGGCTTTGTGTACAACTCATGCGTGTGACTATCGATTGGGTGTTGTGGAGCTTCACCCATCCTCGCTGTGCGTCTGTCTCCCTGGGTGTCAGTGTGCGCCACGGGTGGGGTGCTGGGCCCAGGCAGGTCTTGGCAGATCAGGCTTGAATCTCAGCAGCCCTACGGGGAAACTCTCCATTTCTTTTCTGTCTTTTCTCCCTTTCTATAACCAGTTCTTACCCCTCCGGGGTACCAGAGTGACCTATGGATCTGTGGGTCACCCTGCTCTTACTGGGTCTGTGGGGACTGCTGTGGGAACCACCCCCAGGGGATTGAATATGGAACTGGGGTGTGTCTTTCAGGGCCTGTCCAACTTCAGATGAAATTGGAGTAACTGGTGTGATTCTGGGGTACAATCAGTGGGTACAATATTTGTGTCTGTGCTTATGTTTGGGTCATTGCACATGGCCTTGTGGGCTTCTGAACCCCTGATTGAGAAACAGTGACATTCTGATGCTGGGGGTGGGTCTTTTTTCTCTGCCCCCACACTGGGCATCCTAAGGAATAAGTTTTGGGTTTCCTGGTGGGTGAAGGAGAGTCCCTTACCAAGAATTTGGGTGCCTCAGATTTCCTCTGGGACATGGAGTCATCAGTGTGTCCATTTGGGAAAGGGATTCCTGGGCCACTCCAGGAGCACCGTTCTGTTGAAGGTGCTGATGGCCTGGTGAGTGGGTACCACATCTGAAGACCAAGTAGCACCTGCTGGGGGCCATTTGTGGCTTTTGGTGTTGAGTAACAAGCCAACCAGTGCTTCTGTCCTCTCTGTCTATTCCTTGGGAAGTGACTGGGTGGGCATCTGGGGACCCAGGTGAAATTCAGAGGTATCACTGCCCTCTGGATGCTCATGGTGGCTGTTAGACGGTTGGACCAAGTGGAGGGTCTGTGTGTTCCTGCTGGAAGAGCCAGGATAGGAGTGTGGGGTGTCACCACCTGCCTAGGAGTGAGTGGCTTTGAAGGATTATGGGGGAGGATAATTCTTAGGAAACCTGCATTCAATTCCTGATCCCTCAAGTACATGTGATGGAATCTAGGCCTTGTTTTATAAGTTGGAGATAGTGATTCCTGATCCTGGGCTGAAGACGATCATGGGTGATACTTGTAAGTGAAATACCCGGTACAGGGCCCAACAGGTAGTGGAGGCTCAGTAAGCATTTATAAAATTGGAACTCTAGAAAGAGGAATGTAGTATAGAAATGGGTTGTGAGTAGAAAGAGGATTTGTACTCAGATGAAAGGCCCTGTATGTGCTAAAGGGAGATGTCTGTTGTAAGTCCATATTGGAAGGAAGGTCAGAGAGATTGAAAAATGTCCCTTTTGTGCTGGACCCTTGGAGTTATATTCATCCATCTGTTCATTTCATTCATTCTTATTTCATTCATTTGCTCATATTCAAAAACACTCTCCACACATGCAGAACCGCAGGGCATCAGAGAATAAACACAGCCTACAAATGCAGAGAAGTGTGTTTATGAGTGTGTGTATAGATAAATTGGAGCTACTTTGCACCTGTGGGTCTCTGTGCCATGTGGGGATTTGTGTGCCTGGCCCCCTGGGTGCATGTACCCTCAGGTTATCAGCTTGTAAACAGAAGAGCATGATTCTCCTGTGGGATCAGGAAGGACACATGACAGCCAAAGAAGGGGACTGAGGCGGAAGCTGTGGGAGAGAGACTTGCTGTGCCTAAGAGAGGACCCCATTACCAAGACAAGCAGAGAGTTGGGAGGGGATGGAGACCTGGGATGTCCAGATTCTTCAATTTTGCAAGAGAAGCCAGTAATCCAAAGTTTAAAATGTCAACCTTTTGCTTTTTTGGGTGTTGGCAACAAATGCACCAAAAACAAATGAAAAGACCAGAAACAAAGCAAAGCAGAACTTTTGCGAGCCAAATACGGCCCTGGGTATCCCGGGATGGTAATGCACATGTTCTGTGTGTCTTTATGTATGGTGGTGTTCAGGTCCTTGGTGGGGTGTCTGTCTCCTCTTTGCAGCCCAGAGAGTACCCCCTTCTCACCTCCCTCTCCCAACCCTCCTGTCCAGGCCTCCCCTGAGGCATTTGACTTTGACCTCAGTAGTGGCTTTCAAGTCCGTCCCACTTTGCCCCCCCCCCCCCCCCCCCAGCCAGTCCCCACCTGTTGGCTTTCTTGCTGGATGCTGTTACCTTCTGGACCATCTGTTCCGGACCCCTGCACACCCCAGCACGACCTGCTCCAGTACCTGCCTGCCTATTTCTCCCTGGCTCCTTGGCCTGGTTTTCAGAGCCTTCCATGAACTAGCTCCCGCTGACCTCCAAGGCACCCCTCTCTCTTCCAGAATGCCCTCACCCCCCTCATTGATGTAGAATTTCCCTTTCTTCCTCTGAATCTGGCTTTCAAATGCCACCAACTCCTGGAAGCATCCCCTCCTTTCTCTTCTTGGTCTCCACCATGACCCCCGCCCCCACTCCCATCCTCTTCCTAACGCACAACAGCGCCCACTTCTTCAAGTGGCCAAGGCCTTGTGTGCATTATTTTTTAAACATTTTTTTTAGTTATACATGGTCTTTATTTTATTTATTTATTTTCATATGGTGCTGAGGATTGAACCCAGTGCCTCACATGTACGAGGCAAGCGCTCTGCCGCTGAGCCCCAGCCCCAGCCCTTGTGTGCATTATTTGATGAAAGCTTCACAACAACCATTGGGGGGAGCATTTGTTTATTCCCATTTTACAGGTGAGAACAGTGAGTCTGCAGAGGAGCTTGCATCACATGTCTAAGCTCAAGTGGTGAAGCTGGGATTTGAACCTGATAGCCACTCAGTCTGAATTTCTCCATCATGGTAATGGCTCATCACTAATGCTTACTGGGTGCGCACTTACTCTGCTGAGTACTTTATATGGGTTGTCTCAATCCCTGTTTAAGCCCTGTGAAGTAGGAGGAAGTGGTAGTATTGTCATTTCATAGGTGGGGAAACTGAGGCCCAGAGAGCCTAAGTGAATTTCCCACCAGCCAGTGATGGAGCGGAACCCTAGCGTGGATCGCACTGCTCTGTCATTGTCCCATTCCCTCTTTGGTGTGGTGAGCTCCCCCAGTGGGGGAGGGGGGCTGTGCCCAGAGGTCAGCTGTGGCACAGGCAGGGACTCGGTAGAGATTGCTTAAATTCAGCTGACTTTCTGTTTTCTCTTCTAGCTGCCAAGGGGCCAAGGGATGAGCTGGGGCCCTCCTTCCCAATGGCATCTCCCCCTGGTCTGGAACTGAAGACACTGAGCAATGGTCCCCAGGTCCCAAGGAGACCAGCTCCTCTGGGCCCCGCGGCCCCATCCAGGGCAGGCGTGGAGAATGCCGGCTTCTCCTTGGAGGAGCATGAGACCCGTTTCCAAAACCCCAGGGATGCCAGACCGGACAGCTCCCCCAGTCCTCTGGGGGGCGTCCCCTCACTGCCCCGGTCCCAGCGGGACGACCTGTCCCTGCGTTCAGAGGAGGGGCCGGGCCTGGAGCCGGTGAGCCGCCCTGTGGATTATGGCTTCGTTTCGGCCCTGGTTTTCCTGGTGACTGGGATCCTCCTAGTGGTGACAGCCTACGCCATCCCCCGCGAGGCCCGCGTCAACCCGGACACGGTGACGGCGAGGGAGATGGAGCGGCTGGAGATGTACTACGCCCGCCTGGGCTCCCACCTGGACAAGTGCATCATCGCGGGCCTGGGGCTGCTCACGGTGGGCGGCATGCTGCTCTCCGCGCTGCTCATGGTCTCCCTGTGCAAGGGAGAGCTGTACCGCCGGCGGGCCCTGGTCCCCGGCAGGGGCTCCCGGAAGACTTACGGCTCCATCAACCTGCGCATGAGACAGCTCAATGGCGACGGGGGCCAGGCCCTGGTGGAGAACGAGGTGGTCCAGGTGTCAGAGCCCAGCCACGCCCTCCAGGGGTCTTAAGGAAGAGCCCCTCCTTTCCGGCTGCCTTAGCTCCGGGCTCCGAGGCCCCCAGAGGCCTGGGGCTTCAAACTGAGCTCCCCAGAAAGGGCCCAGTGGAAGGGGGCTGGGGGTCTTGGGTGCGGAGGGGAAGCCCAGGGCAGCCCGCTCAGGCAGGTTCTGCAGTTCAAGGTCTGCTTAAGGTTCTGTTGCTAAGAATACAAAGTTTGGAAAGCCCTGCTGTTGGAAGATGAGGTTTCTCGGCATGTCCAAGGGTGGGGAGCCCATGTGAAAGGGGGCTCGTCCTGTTCTTATGCTGTGGGGAATTCTGGGACCTCCACTGTCCTCATGGGCTAGCTGAAGATGTTGGGTGATCTTGGAGGGGGCACCTTTGAGCTCCCACCCTCTAAGGTGGGAGGTGGTTTCATGGTGAGGGGAGAAGCCAGCACTCGGTGACCCCCCTGTTGTATCCCAACTGACTGAACCGTGACCTTGTCCTCTCCAGGCTTCAGTGGCTCTGTCTGTAAAGTGAGGGGTTGGACTGGATGATCTCTCCGGCCATTTCTGCCCTGGAAATGGGAACCCGGTCTTTGCCTCTGGCCACCCTTTGCAGGAGGAGGGTGTCTGCCAGGCACTGATCCTTCTCCATGCCATTTTCTGGCCTCTCCTCTGTGACCACCACTATCAGGAAGCCAGCAGCTCTCACTGTCCTGCTGAAGAGCGCCTTAGTCAGTGTGGGTCAAACCCACCGTGTGCCACAAACCTGCTTTTGGTCTGGGGGTCTAATTTCCTGTAGTGATTAATTTTCTGTGGTAGCACATTTTGCAAAGTTAGAAGTGCTGTTTCTACCCCTTCTTGGGGATACAGAGAATCTTTCAGAAAAGAAAGTGTGATGACTTTGTGGTATCTGATGTGCCCTTATTCACCAGCCCTCCTTAATAGCATTGTCTCTTGGGTCTGACCTCATGCTAATTGCAGAAAAAAATTTTTTTTGTTTGTTTTAAACACTGAGTTTGTCACCTCCCACTTACCCTCTCACTAGTCAAGTGTAGCCACAGTTGATCTGGGGGGAGAGCAGGCATGCTCAGTCCCATTGGTGAACATTTGTTCTCTTTGGCTTGCGGAATGTTTCCGAGCTCCTTCCATACTTTCTAAACTCTTGATGAGACAGGAACAAGGAGATACAGGCATTTGAGAATTTGGGGGAAGGCATTGTTCAGCCCAAATGGCTCTAGGGGGCTTTGAGAGTACCCGCCTTCTTAGGCCACTGGTATGAAGACTCTAAGGGGTCATTTCCGTGAGCCCCCTGCGGCTGAGTGGGTCCACTTACTCCGTGTCAGTTGGCCATGTGGGCTGGGAATTCTCATTGTCTGGGGGGTGGGAGGATGGGGTAGGCGTGGGGTCTCTAGGGGATCGAGGGCCCCTGATTACCGTAACAGGAGCCTTTAGTCCAGTGAGTGGAACATCTGGGCAGCATGAGATCACAGCTTCTGAGACGGATCAAATATCTGCCCCTGTTGGCAGTTTCTGTCAGGAGAAGGGGGCTGGGGAGGGCTGGAGAGGACAAAGATCCTTTAGCTTGGCTTCCCAGGTTCTGTTGGGGTGTCACAAAGAACAAAGGCCAAGATGGTGAAAAGGTCACCATCCCCTGGGCTCCCACGGATGTGTCATCTCTCCCAAGTTCCAAGCAAGGAGAAGCCACAGAAGGTGGTGAGCCAGGCAAGGTGAACGACAGTAGGATTGGACGCCCCAAATGATGGGCTGAGGCTTTTCAAATCCATAATGATAATAATAAAAATATCAACCCAAGCCCTGTGGATTACGAAGACAGTGGGGGACTCATTTGGTTACTAAACCTGTTGAGAAGACGCATCTGGGACCATCAGTTCCTATCAGTTTAAATGCAATGAATTGTATTTAGGGGCTAAATGTAGTAGAAGATTAAATCTCAGGTTTTCTCCAAGCCAGAGAAGCCTGCTTTGCATTCTAATGTGGAAACTCCTTTAGAAAACGTTTGTAATGGAGCAAAGCAATCATTACCTTGTCAGCAAATTAAGAAAATTCGAGAGATGCCAGAAACATTTCCTCAAGATTGCAGCTGAGATCTCCTCACCAGTGGGTCAGAAACAGGTTTAAGAAGGAGTCGAGGGGGTGGGGGTGGAGTGCTGAGAATTTTCTTTGTAAGTTCCTAGGGGCCAGGTGTGGTAATATCCCAGAGGCCCCTGTGGTTGTTGGAAGAGGCCCTCCTCACCTCCAGGGACTTTTCGAATCTGAAAGCTTTACTAGGGTCCCCCAACCTTGCTTGTCCTGGGGTATCCGAACAGATAGCAGTTTTGGAGTTGGTAAGACCTGGGTTGCATACAGGCTGTGCCATTTACCAGCTGTGTGACTTTAGGTAAGTTACTCTACCTTTCTGAGTTTGGGTTTCTTTGCAGAGTTGGTTTCATGAAAACGCTGCCTGGTGGGGGTGGTGCAGATCAGGATGGCCACTGACAAGGACACTCTCCTTCCCACCTGGACTGGCGCTAACTCTTTTAGGCCTGAATCATGGGGGTGGTGGGGGAGGTCAACCCTTCTTCCTCGTGCATCTCCCACCAGCAGATATTGTCAGATCCACTTTCAGAATGTGAACCGTGTTCATCCGTCATGTTGGTCACTGGTGTCTGGCTTTCTTTCCTGACCGTTCCATCCCCCCAGCTCATCATCCAGTTGGCAGCCAGAGGAAGCCTGTTAAAAGGTCTGGTCACTCCTTCCCTCAGAGCTCCCCTCCATGTCCCCATCATTCCACACAAAGGCCCCAGTTCTCCCCACAGCCAGAGGCAAACCCTGTGTCCCTCTCCTGCATAGACCTTCCCAAGGCCCCAATTGCCTTTTGTATTTGCAATTCTGATTAATTTTTTTCCTTAAGGATGGCCCCATAAAGTCCATAAGCTGTAGGTCCCCCAGACCTGCGTCGGTTCCCTACAGTGGCCTCAAGGCCCTACACTGTGTGACCCCCATGCCTCTCCAACCTCATTTCCCTCTAGCCACCATCACCTTGCGGTTCCTCAACCTTGCCTGGCACTCCCACCCCAGGGCCTTTGCACTAGCTGCTTCTCAGCTTGGAAGGCTCCTCCCCTCAATACTGCAAGCCCCACTCCCTCACCTCCTTAGGGGTTTCTGTAAACACCACCCTCTCATGGACACCTTTACTGGCCCCTGTGTTTAAAACCACACCCCATACCCCTCCCTCACTCCCTCTTCTCCTGCCTGCTTTATTTCTGTCCAGAGCAAAGCATTGATCGCTACCCAGCAGGCTGTGTCCTGTTCTTATTGACCGTCTGTACTCCCCACTCCTCCCCTGCAGGATGGCAGGCTTCTCGAGCGCTGGCATTTTGGTCTAACCAGTTCATGCTGCGCTCACACTGTGACCAACTGGTTGGTGCACGTAGTAGGTGTTCACTGATGAAGGGACAGATGAATGTAACCAAAGTTCCCTGTGCCTGCCAGGGAATGCAGTCCCTGCATGGGACCCAGGGTCCTGCAGTCCCTGCCCGGCCTCCTGGAGCCCTGTTTAGGGCTGAGATTCAGGGATGCAGAAGACGGCCTGCCCAGAGTGTTCAAGGGCCTTATTTTGTCACTGGACCCTAGGAACCCATCTGCCTCCCCCTCTCTGGGTCTTGTACAGCTGTGTGTACCAAGGAGTCAGAGGGGCTCACTGATGAATGGAAACCCCGTGTCTGCCATCACCTGTGCCCACCCACCTCAGGCTCCTGCAGGTCTCCCAGCTGAAGAGGCCGGCTGCCGAGCCGCGTCCTTGTTGCTCCCTTTCTTGGGGAACAGTATTGTTAGGATTCTCTTTAAAATGTCCTCCTCTCCGCATGGACACATCCGCACACACGTGAGCACATGAGCATGAGTGCACGCCTGTGCAAGGGCGGCAGACACACACACAGCTTGCCTGACCTTGCTCAGAAGCCAAGGACACGCGCTCTGGGAGAGCGGCTCCAAGCCAGCGCGTCCTCTGGATGACTGAAGACGGTTCTCTTTCCCCACCAGCCACAGGCTGTGCGGCTCCCAGCATGCTGGCCTCTCAGCAGCAGCCGCGTGTCCCCTCCCCTGGCCAGTCTGCTCTCAGGTGTCCTTCCTGCTCCCCCAACTCGGGGTGGAGGAGAGGTGTCCAGGAGCACTTCCACCCTGGCATTGTGAGAGGGCTTGGAACCAGGCCAGCCAGGTCCTCTGGTCACCCCTTCCCAATGGGTCTGGGTAAATAGAGCCACCTCTCTGCTTTTCCAGAGGAAAACAAAATCTTCTTGCTCTTCTTCACCAGGGGCTGGGGGCCAAGAAACACAGGCAGGGGCCTTGCCAAAGTTGACAGCATGGCGCCCTGTGTCCAGGGGCAGGAAGAAGTCCCCAGGTGGGGTTCTGTGGAGGAAGGTGGGGTGTGGGTACCCTGACCAAGGCAGAAAGGGCCCCCCATGGCCTGTTGGTTTCTCCTGGAGAGTGGACTCCTTCCGCTCCTGGGAGGTAGATTCTCACATTGCAGTGATCTTGCTGGAGTTGCAGGGTAGGGAGCTCCCTGTGAGTGCAGCTGTGTTAGCGTTTACTGGTCAGGTGTTGGGGTACCTTCAGGGATGGGTCATAATAGAGTTGGGTTGGATTCAGTTAAGAGGCTGCCCAAACCCTTCCTTTCAAAGGTCAAGGCCTCAGTGGCCAGAACCTAGCGGGTCTTACTGTGCCCCAAATGCCCACATCATTCTCCTCCTGGACTGGGCTGAGCAGATGCGAGGACCAGGACATCTGAATGGTGCAGAGGAGAGTGGAATTCCCACCTTCTTTCCCCCAGAGGGCAAGTGCTGCCCAGCTTCTGCCCCATGCAAGTCTCAGAGCCACGGGAGGCAGAGCCCCTGCGGTGGGTCCATCAGGGAGAGTGCAGGGGTACTGCCTCCAGAGGCGGACTGCTGGGTGCTCAGTGGTAGTTATTACCTCGTTGCCTGTTTCCTTATCTGTAAAACAGCAGGGCTCACGACAGCGTCTTCCCCATAAGGCTTCTGTGAGCAGTGAGTGAGGAGGTCGCCTGGACAGCA